GCCCTCACCGGGAGCCCTCACCGGGAGCCCTCACCGGGAGCCCTCACCGCGCGTCCGGTGGCGGTGTGGCTGCCCTGATGTGTCCGGGCACGCGGTGCTCCGGCGGCTGGGGTGGTGCTTGGGGGCAGCCAGGAGACCGGCGGGCCGGGGATTCCCGCAGTGACACACCGGCCCCGGCTCATCCCCGGTTCACCGGGAGCCGAGCCCGGGCTCCGCGTGTGCTGCTCAGCCCGCCCCCGTGTTAAAGCCCGCTGGGGTGTGGGCGTGCGGCTCCGCGCTGCCCCGGGAGCGGCGGCATCGGGCTCTGCCCGTTCGGCAGCACCGGGACGCGGTTCCAGGGATGCTCCGCAGCTCTCGGGCTGCTCGTGCCGCTGGTTTGCTCTCGGTGTGGGTTGGTTGTTGGGGAAACTGCTCCTGGTGTAGCTATATTTGTATACATATAAATGATGTGTATTTTATAGGTGTATATATAAATATTTGTAAGTATTTTTGGAGCTGTCCTGGGCAGGGCCAGGAGTTTGATAGTCCTAATGAGTCCCATACAACTCAGTATATTTACATTTATATATTATTTATAATATTAAAATATTATAAATAATATTATAATATATATTATTTAATTTATATCTATAGTGTCTAAATATCTGCTGCTGGGACTGGAACACTCCCTGGTTCCCAGAGCATTCCCGGTGAGCAGGAGCTGCCCATGAGCTCACTGGGGGAGGAGCTGCCATCCTCTGCCATTGATTGATCCCTGATCATTAATATTTAACTTGGCTGCTCTGTTTAACGAAGGGGATGAGATAATCCCTTGGATGGTGAGGATCCAGCACTGGTGGAGTTTTGTCCAGAACTTCAGGCAGCTGCTGCAGAGTGTTGGGATTACAGAGCTGTTAATCTTTTAATTAAGGATTTTAATTTAAGGCAGAAACGAAGTATCCAGTGTGAAATTGAAATGAGAACCTGACAGCAGCACTTTCAGAAAGAAAATTTATCTTCTTTTATTCTGGCTGTGGAAAAGTCTCAGGAAATGGGCAAAGGATGGAACTCCAACAGCAGCAGTAACCACAGCAACGGGTACAGAGAGTCTGTGACTTAATCCTGTCAGCATTCCTTGAAAAAGCCAGGGAGCCAGAAGTTTTGTTGCTTTAGACTTGAAAATTAAAGTTCCAGGCTGTGTTTTCGTTCAGCAGTGTAGCAGGAACTTGTTCAGTCGTGGCATAAATCAAACACCTCACTAAAGCAGGAGTTGTGCTGTTGTTGGGCCCGTGAGGAGAGAAGCAGTGGCAGGGAAAAGATGTTTTTATTTCAGCACTGTGGTGTTGATGTGTGCAGGAAAAAGATCAAGGAATGAGGGGCAGCGAGAGGATGGAGGTGCTGGGAAATCTGCTTCCCAAAATACATGAAGGCTGTATTTGAGTATGGAAATACTTCTTTAGAGAAGAAATTCCTCCCTGTGAGGGTGGGGAAGGCCTGGGTTAGGAGCTGTGGCTGGCCCTGGATCCCTGGAAGTGTCCAAGGCAGGTTGGAGCAGCCTGGGATGGTGGAAGGTGTCCCCACAGCAGGGGTGGCACTGGGTGGTCCTTAATGTCCCTTCCCACCCAAACCATCCATGAGAGTGGGAGAGGGAAGAAAAATGAGGAGAGAAACCTTCCCAGCTTTGCTGAATTCAGTTTCCCACCTGGAGGTTTTGCATTTCTGAGGTTTCCCAGCAGTGACACCCTGTGTGTTCTGGAGCCCAGCATGTGCAGACCCACAGAACCGCTGAGCCCCTGAAATCTGGGCCTCAGCTGAGGTGCTTCTGCTGCTCCCTCGGGCTGGGTGTGCCTGGAGAGCCTCCTGTGTTTACCTCTGAGACGGGGCAGCTCTGGGGAGCCCTGCCCTGGGGCAGCTCCTGCTCTGCCTGGCTGGGCAGCTGCTGGGGACAGTGCCAGGATTGGGGACAGTGGGGAGGGCATTGCCAGGCCTGGGGACAGTGGGGAGGGGAGTGCCAGGCCTGGGGACAGTGGGGAGGGGAGTGCCAGGCCTGGGGGCAGGGGATTGCCAGGATTGGGGACAGTGGGGAGTGCCAGGCCTGGGGACAGTGGGGAGTGCCAAGCCTGGGGGCAGGGGATTGCCAGGATTGGGGACAGTGGGCATTGCCAGGCCTGAGGAAAGTGGGGAGTGCCAAGCCTGGGGACAGCAATCACCCGGTTTTTGTTTTTCTTGCAGGGGCTGAGGCACCATGGAGCAGTACACTGCCAACAGCAGCAGCTCCACGGAGCAGATCGTGGTGCAGGCAGGGCAGATCCAGCAGCAGGTACGGAATGGGGGAATGGGGGAGCCCTTTGCACCCCTCAGAGGGGCACAGTAGGGATAAAACCCAAAGATTTCCTGTAATTCCAAGGAAATGGGGGTTCTGAGGTGGTGCCAGAACCTGACCTTGGACAGTGGAACCTTCTCAGCTGTGACTGAAGGGGCACCTGGGGACAGCATTGGCCTCTGTGGCACTGAGAGATCCAATTTCTTATTTACCTGTGAACAGCACAGGGAAACCCAGGAGCCACGTGGATCCAAACAGCAAATACATCCCAGTTTGGAAAGAACTTGGTGTCAGTGTGAAGTATTTCCAGTATGCAGCCTCCACTTCCTTAGCTCAGCCAGGCTTTCCAGAGCCATTGTAGAGCAGTTGACAGACCTGGGCAGCCGTGGCAGTTTTGCACTCAGGATTCTGGTTTTGTTTGGTTTGTAATTCTTCAGAGCAGGGTGGTTCAGAGGGGCTGGGATGGCCCTGCCAGCTGCAGAATTAACACAGCATTTTTTATGTTCAGAGTTCAAATCTCAGATGCTGCCTCACTTGGATTGCTGAGCTCACTGGGACTTCTGGTTGTTGTTCTGTTCTCCCCACCATTTTTTTTTTCTATTTTGCCTTGCTGTGATTCATTAACAAAAATCCTGGAATGTCTTGTTTTCCTTTCTGCTTCTTGGATATTGTGCTGCTGCCTGTGCTTCTCTGTGCTGACCTGAGCATGCTCCTTCCTGTGTGACCCAGCCCGGGGATCCCTTTGGATGGGACATGGACAGGCTGAGGGACAGAGTGGGGACCTGGAAACTCCAATTCCCAGGGCAGGATTGGCTCCTCACCCCCTGGGGTGTGAAACCCAGGAACTCAGTGGCTTTACCACATTGTGATGTTCTTGTTCCTAAAGAAATCAGATTTTGTGATCCCCGAGTTCATGAGGCTGATTCTGCATTTATGCTGTGGAGGTGGAGTACTTTTCAAGATGTGTTTGGGGAATCTGGGGACTTGGCAGGTGAGGGGGTTCAAGCAGAGAGGTTTGCCCCTTGTTTTTCTTTTCTTGGGCCTTTTTCCCAGTGAGCAGAGAGATACCAGGTCCAAGAGTCCAGAGATTCTCAGGCCAAAGTTACCTCAGAATCCCAGACTGGTTTGGGTGGGAAGGGACCTTAAAGCTCACACAGTTCCTACCCCAACACCTTCCCCTATCCCAGGCTGCTCCAAGCCCTGTCCAGCCTGGCCTTGGGCACTTCCAGGGATCCAGGGGCAGCCACAGCTTCTCTGAGCAGCCTGTGGCAGGGCCTGCCCACCCTCACACTTTATATTTATATTTATATTTATATTTATATTTATATTTATATTTATATTTATATTTATATTTATATTTATATTTATATTTATATTTATATTTATATTTATAGTTTTAGTTTTAGTTTTAGTTTTATAGTTTTATTTATAGTTTTTTTAATATTTATATTTCCAGTCTAAACCTTTTTGGGCCCAGAAGTGGCTGCTGCTCATCCACTTTGAGTTTTCCTCCCTGAACTCCATTTTGTGTTGCTCCAGTTACAGTTTCCCTCCATAAGCATTGAGAGTTTCTCTCAGCACATCCCATGCTCCATGTCAGTTTGGGAATGGGAATGTTGTAGGCATGAAATTGGAGAGAGCTGAAGCCACCTCAGAACCTCCCTGTCAGAGCAGAGTTCTCTCAATAGGAACCTCAACTAAAAATCAGTAATTCTGAGGTGAATAATGAAGTTTTTTATCCCACTTTGCTCTTGGGCTGTGCATGAAGGTACTTCTTGTGGCTGGAAAACGTGTTTTTCATGCTTTATAACAACTAGACTGCAAGAGAAGCAGATAACTCACTAAATCCACAGCACGTGCTGCAAGGTTTGAAGCAGCTCAGTGCCCGCTCCCCACTTCCTCTGCCCCACAGGGAGGGCTCTGGGGCTGCTCTGGCAGGCTTTTCATTGTTGCCTTGTTGTTGCAGGTGCAGGGGCAGCCGCTGATGGTGCAGGTGAGCGGGGGGCAGCTCATCACCTCCACGGGCCAGCCCATCATGGTGCAGGCCGTGCCCGGGGGCCAGGGCCAGACCATCATGCAGGTGCCCGTGTCCGGCACGCAGGGGCTGCAGCAGGTGAGACACCCCGGGCACTGCCCTGCACTGCCTGGCCACGCTCTGGGGTGCTGCCACTGCCACGCAGGGCTCTGCTCAGCCTGAGCAAACCAGCCTGAAGTGCTGGTGGTGGCTCTGGCACGCTGGGAATGAGCGGAAGTCCTTTATGAACTGAGTTTTTATGGTTTATGGCCTGGTGCAAAGCTTTTTGATCAGTGATGGAACACGGCTGGGTTGGTTTGGGGTTTTTCATGGAATGATTTGGGTTGGATGAGATCCTGAAGCTCATCCAGTTGCACCCTCCTGCCATAGGGATACCTTCCTGTGGGGATAGGGATACCTATGATTGGGATACCTGTCATGTGGGATACTGTCCCACAGAGCAGGAGTTTTGTTTGTTGGGATATTTTATCTGGCCCTTGCAATGTAGTTGGGGATCTGGTGCCTGTTCAATTTATGGCTCAGAAAGAGGATTAAAAAATATTATTTAAGAAAGCTTCTTGCAAGTAACTTGTGCTTGAGCCCCTCTAATGTGTGAGGGCTGAAGGGGGATTTCAACATCCCTGTTGCACAGAAGGCTGTAGTGAAGGAGGTATAGAAAATGGATTTTTTTGGAAGTAATTACCTGTTCAAAAGACAGTAAATCTGAGGAGGTGGTTGAAGTGTTCCTGAAAAGCAAAGGGAAGAACTGTAACCATGGCATGATGAAAGTGTCCTGATGGCTTAGGATGGGATTTAGGAACCCAGCACAGTCCAGGAAGGCAAACGGTGTCTTGGTGTTTTGAGAGGTTTATTTAATATTTCCTTTGTTGCAAACCACTGTAATTTGTATGAGGTTCTCAGTCTGGTTGGTGGAGGAAAATCCATAACTGTGTTTTTAAACACAAACTTCAAACTGAATTCCAGCTTTTCTTTTTTAATCTAAGAATGTTCCACAGTGGTGGAAAGACTCTGCAAAGCTGAGGACAACTTTATAAATCCCAGAAGCACTTCTGAGTGCTGGATAATTAACACCCCACAGATGTCTTAAATCTTAGTCCTCCTCTTCCACCTGACTATTTGTTCCCAGTGGATGTGAATAATTGATTTCTCCTGAGTGATTTATTGTGTAAGCAGTGCAGAGCTGCTGGAGCACGGTGACACAGCACGCTGCTCCCTCTGCCCTGGGTGCCTGTGTCACGGGGAGCAATCCATTAAAACTCCTCATTCTCAACTGGAAAAAGAGAAGACTCCCTGCTTCCTTTTTCTGTGCAACACTAAATCACCCTCAGAGATGACTTGGTCATGCTGAGGCCGAGGAGGGAGAAATCAGAGGCATAGTTAATGTTCCTTTCTGACTCTTTCTTCCACAGATTCAGTTGGTCCAGCCAGGTCAGATTCAGATTCAAGGTGGGCAGGCTGTGCAGGTACAGGGGCAGCAGGGCCAGACCCAGCAGATCATTATACAGCAGCCCCAGACTGCAGTTACTGCTGGCCAGACACAGGTAACTGCACCAGCATGAAAGGCTTTTCTGCAGAGGAACAGGAAGAGAAACTTGACAAATTACTTAAGATGTAGTTAAGTTAAAAAAAAAAGGAATTATTAATATTGAGGAGAACTTGAGAATGAGTGTCATGTTTTTGTAGTGTTTCATACATGACTCTGGGGCAGAAAAATTAGATTGCATGTTTTTCTCCATCGTGTTTCTGTATTTTATTGGTTCGTGGTTGTTTTTGTCTCTTTGTTGGATTTTGAAAACATGAAGCATTGCTAATTCCATACTTGGGCCATTGTGTGCAGTAGTCCAGTCACACCTGGGGTTTCTGCTGATGCTTTTGGTCAGGGCCAAAATTAAATTTTGGAGCAGAACAGTTCTTCCTTTTACATCTTCATAGTGAGACAGGAAACCTAGAATTTGGGGTTTTTTCATTATTGAACTGTTGGAAAATGCATCTTACATGTGCTTCAGGTGTTTGATCTCCAGGTATTTGCTCTGTGCTCCAGCCTGTTTCTTACTGCTGCAAATGAGGCAGCAGAAATAAACACCTGGAACACCTCAAGCACCATGTGTTCATTCAGGAATTGTAAACACTGGGAAAAAGGAGGCACTTTGTAACGTTTTTGTGCTCTTTGTTTTGTCCAGACCCAGCAGCAGATTGCAGTGCAAGGCCAGCAGGTTGCCCAGGCTGCTGAGGGCCAGACCATCGTGTACCAGCCCGTGAATGCTGATGGCACCATCCTGCAGCAAGGTAGGAGGGCTGGGAGGAGCCAGGGCACCTCTTTGAGAGGCTCTTTATTTATTGAGGTGTTTGTGTGCTCTGCAGGAATCCACTCCAGGGTTCTTTCCCCAGAAACAGAATAACTCCTTGTCTCTGGCAAGGGCTGCTAGAATAAAACCCCTGAAATTTCCTTTTCCACCTCAAGAGTACATAGTTACTCACAGTGAGGTTACAAATGCAAAAACCAGAATTTCTGATGGAATTTAATCCCTGGCTTCAGCACTTTCCTGCCTCTCTGCATGTTTTGGAAGGATGAATGAGTAAAACACAGAAGTGGGACTAATGCTGTTCCCTTCTTTTTGTGTGCGTGTTTTTGTTTCTTTTTTCTTTCTTTCTCTCTCTTTTTTTTTTCCTTGTTTTTTCTTTTTATTTTCTTTTCCTTTCCTTTTGTGTTCTACTTCCTTAAAGTTACAGTCCCTGTTACAGGCATGATCACCATTCCTGCAGCCAGCCTGGCTGGAGCCCAGATTGTCCAAACAGGAGCCAACACCAACACCACCAGCAGTGGCCAGGGGACGGTCACAGTGACACTGCCAGTGGCTGGGAACGTGGTCAATTCAGGGGGAATGGTCATGGTAGGTGTGAAATTCCCACTGCTGCCTCTGGAGGCTCAGCTTTGAGGTGTTTGTGCTCAAATCTAGCAGGATTTTCACGAGGGTAGGGATAGGATAGTGGGAATGGCTTTAAGTCGAAGGAGGGCAGGCTTGGGTGGGATATGGGGAAGGAATTTCTCCCTGGAGGGTGGGGAGGCCCTGGCACAGGGACCCCAGAGAAGCTGTGGCTTCTCCATCCCAGGCTGGAGCACCCTGGGATAGTGGAAGGTGTCCCTGCCCATGGCAAAGGTTGGAATTGTGTGATCCTTAAAATCCCTTCCAACCCATCCCTGGTTCTCTGATAAACTCTTGTCTGAGATTGAGGTACCATGGTCAGCCCTCTCTGTAAGTTTAGTTTAGTGGGTAAAGTTTAGTCCTCTCATTGGTTTAAAGTTTAAACAATGCAAATTTTCAGCTTCAAAGGCCTGGATCCTGCTGTGATCTTTGCTCTGGACTTTCTCCCACAGCAGCTCAGAAATCTAGAAACTGAAATGCAAACTGAGCTGTGAGCTGGTGAGCAAAGGTTTAAATAGATTGAGTCACTTCTGGTTTTCTTGAGGGTCCCTTAGGATTTGTTTCCATCATTTGTAGAGGTTTTTCCTGCCAGGTCCTGTTTCTTTGAATGTTGCTGGTCCCCACTAGATGTCAGCAGCTCTGCAGTGTTAGCTTAGAGATGCTCTGGAATGAAAATTGAAATAAGAGATAACCCAAAAGAAAGGGAAGCACCAGCCATGTCCTGTTTAATTGTGCAAGAAACAGCAACACAGTCAAGGAATTGTATTGAAATGTTACTTTATCAGGAAAACCCAGCAGGACTGATGAAGAATTGATTTGTTTAGATTGGTTTTGCAGTTTGAGAACAGCTTCATTGCTCCTTTTCATTTAAGCAGCTGCATTACCTGAGCAAAACCCACTTTCTGTTTAAGTATTGGGGTTTTTAATGCCATTTTTGTGTTCAGTTTGTGTGGTGAGCTGCAAGGACTAAACCACCCTGTGTGTACAGATGGTGCCTGGAGCTGGCTCAGTCCCAGCCATCCAGAGGATCCCTTTGCCTGGAGCAGAGATGCTGGAAGAGGAGCCCCTCTATGTCAATGCCAAGCAGTACCACCGCATCCTGAAGAGGAGGCAGGCACGGGCCAAGCTGGAAGCAGAGGGGAAAATCCCCAAAGAGAGAAGGGTGAGAATAAAACTCAGCTCTAACACAGGCTTGCTCTGTGACAAAGGCACAGAATCCCACCTGGGATGAAAAATGAGGATTAGAATTTTGGTGTTCCTCAACAATGGTTTTATTGTTGTTGATGAGCTACATCGGAGTAATTTTTTTAAGTCCCTTGAGGATAATTCTGCTTATTTTGGATGTTTTTGGGAGTGTCTGGAGCTGTGTGTGAGCATGCACTGACTGTCAGCACAGTGTCTGTGGGGCAGAGAATGGATGGGGACTGGGAATTTCCTCTGGGGAGACAGTGACTGGGAATTTCCTCTGGGAAAACAGTGACTGGGAATTTCCTCTGGGAAAGCAGTGACTGGGAATTTCCTCTGGGAAAGCAGTGACTGGGAGTCCATGGAGCAGGGGATGGATGGGCACTGGGAATTTCCACTGGGAATCCATGGGGTAGGGGATGGATGGGCACTGGGAGTTTCCTCTGGGAAAGCAGTGACTGGGAATCTGTGGGACAGAGGATGGATGGGCACTGGGAGTTTCCTCTGGGAAAGCAGTGACTGCAGGGGTGGCTGCTCCCTCACTGCTCTTCCTTCACTGCAGAAATACCTGCACGAGTCCCGGCACCGGCACGCCATGGCCAGGAAACGGGGAGAGGGGGGTCGCTTCTTCTCCCCCAAGGAAAAGGACAGCCCTCACATGCAGGTGAGTGGGGTTTGGGGCAAATCCCCTTTCAGCCCTTCAGGACACACAGCAGAGGTGGCTGTGCTGCTTTGTTTGGGTTTTTGGGCTTGGCTGCTGACTCTTGTCCCTCACTGCCTCTGATTTTTTTTCTGCTGCCCCTTGGCCCTCCCTGCCTTTAGATTTATTCCAAGCATTGGGAATAAAACCTCCTGTCACTGCTTGTGGACACCATGGGATGTTTGCCCTGAGGAATTAAATGACAATAATGTGGATAGAAGCTTTGTAGTTCTTAGGATAAATGCACAGAAACATTGTGTGTATGTAAAACAGCCTTTCTGGTTGGGTACTGGGGTGTTCTTTCAGGACATGAATTAAAGGTAGAGACTCCTTATCTTTACATCTGATGCAAAATTAAAAACGGGACTATCTGATTCTTAGCTGCATCTTGATTTGCATAAAAGGTGCAAGGCATTTTTCAAAGGAAGGGACATAATGGAGTAGAACAAACAGGTTCTGTGGTGGCTCATTAGGTATTAGGATTTTTGTGTCTCTGGCCTGTAAAACCCAGGAAAAACAGGACAGTTTTGGAGATCAAGGGAAGTGCAGGAGTGTCCTGCTGATGGTTGTGTGTGGTTCTCTGTGCTTCATGGGAAAATGTGTCATTTCCACCCTTTTGTGTCTGCAGGATCCATCTCAAAGCAACGAAGAAGCAATGACACAGATGATCAGGGTCTCCTAACCCCTGCTTCCCAGGAAAAACACCTGAAGGGAATTCCCATCCCTCCTGCCAGCCTGTCCTGCCTGCCCAGAGTGTCCAGTGAATCCTGGAGTGGGACAATCTCCATGTCACAGCCTGTCCTTTTCCACAGAGCAAGCACCACGTGTTGAGGACGTGCTTGAGGTTTCAACTCTACCAACAGAACCTTTCAGGCTTCCTTGGTGCCCTCTCCTGATCCAGCACAGGGAATTCAGAGTCCGAGTGCTCATCTCTGGTTTTCCTTCATTTCCCCACCTCTCCCTGGGGCTGGTGCAGCTCAGCCCTGTCCAGGGACAGATTCCAGCTCCTCCAGCCAGCACTGAATGGCTGCACCTCAGGGCTGGGTTTGCCCAGCAGAGATTTGTTATTCCATCCACTCCTCACCCCTTTGGACTTGGTTTTCCCTGAGCTGGACCCTGCACTTCCAAGCCTGGCAGAAACTGAAGGGGATTCTTTTCAATTCCACCTTGTAAATGTGTAAAGAAGCTCTTCTCTGGGAAAGGTTCAGCCATCCAATCAATGCTAGAAATAGTCAAGATTACTGCAGGACTTGATGTGTTGTGTCTCTGTTGCAAGTGGGGTGGGAGAGGGAGATGTGGGGGGGTTGGGTCAGTAAATCAGTCTCTGGGTGGGTTTGGATGTTCATTGCCAGTACTTGTTGCTTTGGAAGAAAACTGGATGTGAGTCTAGAAAGGATTGAAACTTTTCAGTGACTCTCTTCCAAAGGATTTTTTTTTTAAATCTTCTTTCTCACCTGCCAGTGAAGTCCATGGTTCCTCCAGGAGATGGGGAACCCTCAGTGTGACACTGGTGGCACTTGGCCATGGTTGGGATGGAGTTTCTGATGCCTAAATCATTTCTACAGTTCCAGAGTGAGGGGTGATTCAGGACAGCAGCAGCTGGGGCAGCTCAGCCTGAGGTACCTGAAGGACTCAGCAGATACTGATGAACCTTTCATGCTTTTTGTAAATTAAGCTCTTAAAACAGAAGTGGCACTTAGCAAAGGAGAAATACTTACATTATTAAAAAAATAGGATTTTCTCATGACCTACAGCTGGCTTTGGGCTGAGCATCTCCCCAGACCAGTTTTCATTTAGATTCTAAGCCTGCTCTATTATGATTTGAATTTAGTAATGGGAGCAGTATTAAAAGCATTTAACAGGTGATTTCTCACCATTGCACTCCTGTTCCCTCTCACCTTGATGAGTTACACAGCTGCTCTGGGGATCATCTGCCTGCTGGAGTCCCAGAATTTCCAGGTTTTGGGTCCTGTAGTTCAAACTGGATCACAGCAGTGAAGTTTGGGATTGGGAATGTTGCTGGGTGAATGTGAACCTGGCCAGGTGAAGCTGAAGAGTGAAGAGTTTTTGAGGAAATGCTGCCAAGGATGGGTGAGACTGGGTTCAATCCAGTGAATGCTGAATTCAAGTGACAAGGAAATGCAGCTTGGAAATTACATTTTCTACCTCCCATCTTTTCCCATTTACTGTGCATTTATGGCTGAAGACAAAGTGGAGGGCAAATCAGCAAGTTGTGGAAGACTGGGAGGATACAAAAGAACAGCCTGGAAAATTCTGTTCCCTTTGGATGAAAGAAAAATGCTAAACCTGAGAGTATGAGATTGAGGAGAAATGTTGGATCCTTGCTGTGAGCAGGCAATCCTGGAGGAAGAGGGAGCCTGTTCAGGTGGAAGGATGCCCTGTGCAGGCAGTGGAAGGACAAGGAGGAGCTGCAGAGGTTTGGAATTGCCAGCTGGATCTCTAAATGCAGCTCAGCTCCTTGGTGTGAGTCCTGGTTCCTGTCCCTGCCCACAGCTGGAGCTGGGAAGGACACTCAGGGACTCCTGCAGCTGCAGGAGGAGCTGGCCTGGCTCCTGGCAGGCAAATAAATCTTTCTTTCAGTTTTTGTCCCAAGTTAGATGAGTAATCTGACACTCTGCTCACAACCCTTAATTAGGATTTATCTCTAATAATTCCAAGGGCATTTTTGACATCAATGGCATCATCAGGGCCTCTGGTTGCTTCTGCCTTAAATCCTTGTCCAGTTGGTGCTGGTTTTCCTCAGCTGGCACCTAAACTCACACAGCATTTCCTGGGGTCTCCCCCATTCCAGGAAGTTGCAGCTCTCCTTAAGGGATTTTAGTTGAATTTGCAGCATTACTGTAAATATTTTTTTTGAGCATCTGTACATTTTGTTGGAATATTTGCGTGCTGGAGTAAGACCCTCTCCGTGATATTTTTTGCTCTTCAGTTGATGGTAAATCTGTCCTGAAACACCTTTTTGAGAGCTGGAAGTTCAGGAAGCAAGATAATTGCTCTGACATAGGTTTTATTTTTTTTTTTAATGACTAATTACTTTCCTTAAAGAACTTGTAAACTTTTTTCCCCAATATCCCTTCATATCTAGGTTCTCTGATCTGCTGTTGTAGGTTGTGTGTGAAGAAATACAGATTTGTGTTCTAGGAAGTCTTATTGTTAATATTTTGAAATAGTGATGTGAAAGCCTGAGTGCTCCTATCATTTTTTTATTTGTGTTTTGTGTATCACTGCTGAAAGTTGTGTTTATTTGGTGAGGTTGGAGCCAGCAATCAACACCATGGTACCAAAAATATCTGCTTTTTTTTTCTAGGCAAATCTGTGAAAATTGGAGACATGTCCAGTTCAAACCTCCCTAGTAATTAAATTAAAATTCTCTGTAGATTGGCTACACTTGAACAAAACCTTCACTTTAGGAGTGAGTTAAGAGTGGGTGAGGATGAAAGAAGAGGTTTGGGAGGAATGTGTTTGATTGACCCAGAGCAGTGAAGCATCAAACCCATCAAAACCCAGATTTATAGGAGAGTAAAGATCAGGATTTGGAAAAAAAAATGGTCCTCAAGTGATGCTAAATGGCTTTAAGGCCCTGCATGTTAACAAGAGGGGAAAAATAAAACTTTTCTTTGTGAAGGGGCGTGGGAGGGTCCTGAGCTTAACGTGATGTCAACGTTTGTACATAGTTCAAAGTTTTTAATTTTTTTTATATGACGCATTTTTTCAAGTGTATTTTGGTCTTTAATAGATGCAATTGTAAGTACTGTGTACACTCTCCAGCTAATAAAATTTATAAACTGAGCAGCTTTTGCTGTGTCTTGGGGATTTTGTGATGGGCTGTGGGGAGGACAGGGGCGGCTTTGGGGTGGCCGGGCAGCCCAGCCCTGACCTGGGGATGGCTGGACAGCCCTGTCCTGACCCAGGACAGCTGGACAGCCCTGCCCTGACCCAGGACAGCTGGACAGCCCTGTCCTGACCCTGTGCCCTCACCTGGGGTGGCTGGACATTGCTGCCCTGTCCCTCTGTCCTCACCCGGGGATGGCTGGACAGCCCTGCCCTGGTGTATCCAAACAAATCCCCTGCACCCCCATACCCCAAAAGAGGCCAAGCAGGCCCTGCCCTCACCCCCTGCCCTCACCCAGCATGGCTGGACAGCTCCTGCCCTGTTCCAAGGTGGCTGGACAGCCCCTGCCCTCACCCTGTGCCTCACGGGCCCGGCACGGCCATTTTTATCTCCCCTCAGCCCCATCCACCATATCGCTGCCCATGGGTGCTGCTCCCGCGGCCCCAGGGCTGGGCTGTGGGTGCTGAGGGGACTGAGGGACACCGGAATGTCCCCTCAGAGCTGCTCCTGGTGTGGGGGGTCTCTGGGAGTGGGACCCTCCATCCTGGGCTGATTCTGTCCCAGGGATGAGGCAGCGCCTCAAGATGGCGGCCTGAGGGGAGAGGGCTCTGCCCCGGGCCTGAGGGCCCGCAGAGAGATGGGAATGGAAAACAAGAGGAAAAAAGGAAGAAAAAAAAGGAACAGAAAGGGAGAAAGGAAAGACAGGAAGGCAGGAGAGGAAGAAGATGGGAGGGAGGCTGTGCCACCATTCCAGCCGGGAAGGGGATGGGAAATGTGCCTGGCAGTGGCTCCATGTCCTGGCAGAGCTGTGGGCGCAGCACTCATGGAGATGCACCATTACCTCCTGCAGGATTCATGTAATTACAGTGCTCTGTAATTATCCCTGAAGTCAGCTGGAAGCTGTGCTGGAGCACCAGGAGTGTCCATGGAAGTGGTGATGGAATCTGTATCTGCACCACTCCATCCTGACGTGCCCAGCTGCCCTTCTTTCCAAGATTTAATCCCTTTATATTCCAGGTGGAAGTGGTGATGGAATCTGTATCTGCACCACTCCATCCTGACGTGCCCAGCTGCCCTTCTTTCCAAGATTTAATCCCTTTATATTCCAGGTTACCTCCCAGGAAGGTGATTCCACCTCATCCCCAACTGCCAGGGATCCTGTCATTATCTTTTTTTCAGCTGAATGAAGACCTCAGAATGAGCTTATTTCTGTGTTTTGGCACAAAAAGAGTTTTCCTCTTAGGAGGATTGGGTGGGCTTTGAAGGCTTTAAGAGAGAGTGAATTTCCCAGTCTCCTGTAATCCCTCTGGGCACGCTGCTCTTCCCAGGATTGGAACTGCACACTCACTGCAATATCAGAAATAGTTAATGGTACAAACTCTACACCAATATTGCACCATCTCAAAACCCCCAGAGCACAAAGCTGGCAGTCACGAATTCTTTCCCAAATTGGTCAATACAGTGATGACCAGAAAAAAAAAAACCCAAACAAACAAACAAGAAAAGAAGGAAATGACAGTATGTAAGATCAGAGTGGAAGCTGGGATAGGAAATGAGGAGAACAATCACGCAAGCCTGTTGAGGAAGTCAGAAATCAGTTTCTTTAGCTATTATGATGTAATTGTCTAGCTTTTTTTTTTTCAGACAATTTGCAGTAGAATAATAAAATAATCTTGGATATAATGGTAAAAAAAACCTGGTGTTGTGTAGCCACATCAAAGCAGTCAACAAGAATTTACTTTTCTCTCTCATCCTCACCTTCAGAACTGCATAATCACTCCCAGAGCAGAGTTTATCCAATCCATGGATGTATTCCCTCCCCTTCCACCTTCCTTCCCTCCCCTGCCACCCAGTATCCAGGCTGGGATCTTCCTGCAATCTTGATATCCAAAAATTAAACCCATTTTTGTGTCCTGTTCAGCATCCTCAGTCTCTAGCTCATTGAATTAAGAGGGAAATCTCAGTCAGCTGAATTTGGGGATTTATCCATAATCCCTGAGGGATGTTTGCCTATATCACTGTGATAACAGGATTCTGTAGTTGGATCAACAGGGGTGTAATTTGTAATAAAGTCAAGCTAGATTTATCCTGGAGGACAGGTGTGTGTTAATAAACAACAAACATGGAAATACAGTTATTTCTTTGTAAAACAAATCAATGCATTGGAGTGTAAATTCCACCCCGGGAGCTCAAGCTGATGACAATTGATACTATAAAGTAGACAAATATTTTCCAAGAAGCCCCTTGGTTATTAGAACATGTCAAATGCATTACTTGTCTCTCTGAAGCCCAGGAAAAATCTCATAGGTTTAAAATAAAGCAGATTTTTACCACTTTGCTGAATCTCATCAGAATAGGCAGTAATTAATAATTTTTTGTGAATATTTAGGTCCAGAGGAAGGAGCTCACTTGGCCTGGCTGTGTTGCTGTATCAGTTGCTGACAGACACAAGCAGTTCCTGTATTTGGGTTTATAGCTCCCTGCTATTTAAAAAAGAGAGTAATTTGGAAAAGCAAATGCACCACAGCTCTCCTCTGGGTTTGCCCACCAAGGTGCTGTGCTGTTAGAAAAGTGCAGTTATTTTCCAGGGGAATTGTGCTTCCAGGTCTTCCTTTTCCCTCACCCCATCACCACCCTCAGCAGCTGGGTCCAAACCGAGCTGGGTGGTTTAAGTGAAGTGGTTTTGGTTTCTGGGTATCACCCTTGGTTCATCTACAGACGGAAATATTTCCTCCTTGTCTCATGAAATTGGGGAAGAGCAGAGGGGATGTGTGGTGAAAGCGAATGTGAGCTTTAATGAGACTTTGATCAGAGTTACCTGGAATTTGGGACGGCATTTTGCACCAAACACAGCCTTGGAGTTTCCTGTTGGCTCTCACAGGATGGGAGCACTGAGGGACACGGAGTTCCTTTATTTTGTTTTTTGCAAACAGCCCCAAAAGTTCTGATGAACCTTCATCAGGGGGGAAGACATGAAAAAACAACCCCCACAGAGTGTCCAGGTCACCCCGCACAGGAGCAGAGCCAACGTCAGCACAGAGGGAACTGGGGAAGGGAAGGACAGAACAAGCCCCAGAAATATTTCTGCCCCAAACCCTTTTGGTTTTGATTAATACAATTCTCCCAAATTACATTCATTGTTTTTGATGGTAATCAGTAAGTTATTGATTAATTTCTTTTTATTTCCTTGGAGATATTTTTATTTCAGATGACAAATTTCTCTCTGTGGATGCAGATACAGCAAGTCACTGTCTAGACCAGGAGAAAGCAACAAATACAGATTTTCTTCTCCAAAAGTTGCTGATTTAAGATTGAAAACCTCAGAGTGGTGGGAGGGAAAGACCTCGGAAGGACAAGGGTTGCCAGATGTGCCACCATGAATTTCAATTTCTGGACAAAACACAGAACTACTCTAAAAAAGGGAACCCAAAAGTGTAATTAAAATAAGCAAATTTCAGCCATTGCTTCTGTGGGCAATGAGAGGTTGGGCTCTGAGCTGCTGCTCCTGCACAGAGCTGGCTCTGGATGTTCCTGGGTGTTCTAAACACTCCAGGGTGTTCCAAGCATCACCTCTGCTCTGGGACACGACTGTCACCTGGTGTCCTGCAGGAAATCCACACCAAGCCAGAGAATCAGCTGGATTTTATTTAGTTTTGCAGGGAAAAAGAAACGTGAGTGCCCATGGGTTTGGAGCCTGGGAGAGCTGAGTGCAGCTCAGAGGGGAGGGATGAACAACCACCACATGGGAGAGAAAACACAGGGAGAGCAACAGAGAGACAGCTCCTGTGCTCACAAAGTCCCTTCAGGGAGGAGAAGCTGGCTCAGAGATGCAAAGAGACCACATCCCTTTCCTGGTGTGTCCTGCAGTTCCTCACGCATTTCCACAGGGATTTTCTCCAAGCATCCCCACAGTCCAAAGCAGCTTGTGGGAGCTGCTCTTCCTCACCTTGGAAAGGCAGAATCTGTCACCTGAGGTGACAGGAAGTTGATGGGTGTCAGTTCAGACCGTGATGGAATGGTCCTGGGAATGATGTCTGGAATAACTGCCTGGGGATGAGGTGCCAAGGGGAAGAGGTGACAAAGAAGATGGGGACGTTCCCTCTCCAGTTCTTCCAGACCGGTGTTTAGTAGTGATCCTTTGCTTATGGCAGGTGGCAAACCCTCATTTGCCTTTTCCATGGATTCCCTTTGGCTTGGCTCACGCAGAGCTCTCCCAGGAGAGGCCGATTCCATCATGTCCAAGGTCAGCAGGGAGCGGGAGCACCTGCTGCTCACCCAGGCCTGCGTTCTGCCCTCTCTCCCTCTTCTTCCTGCTGTGGGCAACAGCCCCGACCAGCACAGCCACCATGAACTTGGCCACCAGGAATCCAGCCAGGATGTAGAAAACAGTGAAATCCACGTCAGGAGAGGACCTGTGGGGAACCAGAGATGCAACCATCAAGTGGATGGTCCAACCTTAAAAAAATTTCTTGTAGTGTTGCCTAAGTCCTAGGAAGATTAGAGATCTCAGCACGAGGAGTTTTGGGCTCACCTGGAGATGCTCTGCACAGCTCTGGGCTCCTCTGGCACGTGGGTCACCAGGTCAGCTGCTGATGGAAACACAACAGTTTAGTCTGCAGATGTTTCTGGGGGACGTTCAGCTGGGCAGGTAACCCAGGTGAGACAGGGCACTGGGAGCAATAAAGAGGTGACGTGTCAGATACCCTCTAACAGTGAGGTCACGCTGCTGAAAATCAGGAATAAAAAGAGACAGTGAAACACAGGACTTCCTTAGAGTGAGACAAAAGTAGATGTTGACTCAAGTGGGCCCTTGGAAGCTGCAGACACCCATGAAATTCCAATAGGAACCAGTGAAATTCCAGTAGGAACCCGTGAAATTCTAGTAGGAACCCATGAAATTCCAATCGGAACCCGTGAAATTCCAACAGGAACCCGTGAAATTCCGGTAGGAACCTGTGAAATTTCAATAGGAACCCGTGAAATTCCAATAGGAACCCGTACAATTCCAATAGGAAAACGTGAAATTCCAATAGGAACCTGTGAAATTCTAATAGGAACCAATGAAATTACAGTAGGAACCCGTGAAATTCCAATAGGAACCTGTGAAATTCCAGTAAGAACCCTCCAAACTCTTAGCCCCAGGACGTACCTGCCAGCACTTCCACCTGCACCATCCTCAGGCTCTTTGTTTGGCCCAGGAAATCCGTTCTGCACTGGTAGAGCCCCGCGTCCTCCTTGCGGAGGCGCCTGATGGTGACGGTCAGGAGCCCGGCGCGGGCGTCGTCCCTGATGGAGGTGGTGCCCCTCCTGCTCCCGGGGAAGGGCAGCCACGCCGGCGGGGCGCCCACCACGTGCTGGCACCGCCTCTGCTCCAGCTGCCTGCACCAGCTCTTCTCCCGCCACCACTGCCGCGGGTCGTAGGAGCAGTTGACAGAAATGGTGTCCCCCTCCATGGCGGCCACCACGGTGACGTTCTCTGCAGCGCAGGATGCTACGAGGGACAGAGGGACAGAGGGACAGAGGGAGGGGTGAGACAAGGTTCTTCCATGTCTATCCCTCATTGTGGGGATACTGAACGTCATTTTCATCGTCTCGTGATGTGGGACTGTTACCCACAGGGATGTCACCTGTAGAGCTGCCACCTGTAGGACTGTCACCCATAGGGATGTCACCTATGGGGCTGTCACCTGTAGGACTGTCACTTATGAGGCTGTCACCCACAGGGCTATCGCCTGTAAAAGGCTGTCACCCTCAGGGTTGTCACCTGTAGGATGTCACCTGTCCACTTTCGCCATGACCAACCCACTGTACTCAGATCTTGGCTCAGATATTCTGGAATTCATCCCAGTGACACCTCCAAACCAGTGTCTTACTCACTGGTTCCTTCTGAATCCCAGTTATCAAATCCAGTTTAACTTTTTTTCCTACCTTATATTTTAATATCTTACTAATTTTAACCATGTTGACAACTGGTCTTTGCTCGACTTTGTTTGGTTTTTTTTATTGTGTTGGTTCCTCATTTCTAATTTCCATTCCTCTTTGTGACAGGCAGAGGCGACAGACTGAGCTATTAATACTTCCAGAGAGAAGTGCAGTGTGGTATTTGTGGAAATCTCTATTTCTACTGAAAAAAAAGGAAAATGCTTCTGTGACACCATAAGTAATGATAAAACAAAAGTAAATTTAAAAATAGACTCTTGTGAGGACTTTGTGCTGGCTGAGTCTTTTAATAACACTTCTTACAATAATTTCAACAATTCTAAGTGGATTGTAAACTAAAAACTATGAAGTTCTTTCAGCTTGACTTGAAGAAGACCTAAAATGGATCTGTGCTCTGCAATCCAACACCTACAGGACTTTATCCTGACGTGTTGCTCCCCTTGGTTGTTCCAGTCAGAGTTTACCTCATGGAACCTCCAGTCCAGTCCTGTTCAATCCCTCCCAAAACTCTTTAACTGCTTCTCCCATTTCCCCTTCCTTCCTCCAGCTCTGCCCCTTCAGTCCCAGAATTCCAACAGCACTGCAAAACATCTCTCAAACACAATCACTGAAAGATTTCCTCATGTCCCTCTGGAAAATGTTCTGTCATTCTCTTTTCAACCAATTTTGCTGACAGATCATAAACTGTTGGTGTTCCTCCTCTCTTCTTGGGTGCCACTGGGCAAAGCACAGTGAACTTTCCCCAAACTCATCCCAGTTTTTGGGACAGGTTCCTGTGCTCTCACAGCCTGAGTCTGTTGCCTTTCCCTGCACTGCTGTGAGGATCTGGGATCCCCAGATGCTGCAGACAGCCCCAGCTGGGCCCTGTACCTCGGTTCTCATTTCAGCTGGACATTCCTTTCCCAGCTGGAAAAGCCGGGTGTCTGGGATTTCAGAGCTGTGCCCTTCACTGGGTTTCATTTCCCTGCCCCTGAGCCCCACCTGTGATCATTTGCATCTATGTAAATCCCATTTGCTAATGCAAACAACCCAGGATTTTGCAATTTCACATTGCACACAGAACTTCTCTCGCCAGTGGTTCCTGTTCTCACTCCAAAGGATCCCTGTGAGGAAATCTGGGAGCACTGAGATCACCTTTTGAAGAGTGGCCCTTTGCTAAAAAAAGGGAAAACTCTGAGGATGGAGCCTTCAGACAGAGAGAAAGCTTTGCCCCAATCCTTCCCCCTTTACCTGACCTCAAAGCCTTGTGTGGTTCTTACCTGACAGGAAGACCAAGGTGAGGTGCAGGAGCTTCTCCATGGGGCTGAGCAGAGGAGGAGCAGGAGAGGAGCTGGAGAGGAGCAGGAGAGGAGCTGGAGAGGAGCAGGAGAGGAGCTGGAGAGGAGCTGGAGAGGAGCTGGAGAGGAGCTGGAGAGAAGCGAGCCGGCTCAGCCCATGGGCAGCTCCTCTCCCCGGCTGTGCCGGAAGGAAGGAGCACAGGAACTTGGCATCTTTTTCATCCTGCACATTGAGCAATTCTCCAGGGACAGGCATTGCCCTCGTGGGCTGAAAATTCAGGCATCAGCACTGCCCAGTCCCAGCCACAGCTCAGGCAGACAGAAGGGAGCAGCACGTGGTGACACCACAGGCTGGGTGTCTGCTCCCACTGAAGGATTTCATGGAATCATGGAATCACAGAATGCTTTGGGTTGGAGGGACCTCAAAGCTCAGCCAGCTCCATCCACCTTTCACTACCCCAGGCTGCTCCCAGCCCTGTCCAGCCTGGCCTTGGACACTTCCAGGGATCCAGGGGCAGCCACAGCTGCTCTGGGCACCCTGTGCCAGGGCCTGCCCACCCTCCCAGGGAAGAATTCCTCCCCAACATCCCTGTGGTAGAGGGAAGCCATTCCCTTGCGCTGGCACGCCAAGCACGATGGTGATAAATCACAATAAATTATTTACAGGAGCTGTGCATGGAGGGAATTTCTGGAAAGCTGAAAGGGAGGCTCTCCTGGTAGCTCTGGCAGCATCCTGAGGGTGAAGGAGGACAAGGACATCATCCCCTGGGTTCCCAGGAGAAAGAAGAGCCTGTACATGGAGCATCCTTGTCTGAAACCCAACCACAAAGAGCAGGGCAGGGGCACTGCTCTGCGAGAAGCTGTGGGTGCTTTTAAAGAAGCCCAGAACTCACCTGTGTTCTGTACCTGGCACAAAGGGCACAGGAGCTCTGCTGGGGGTTCTGAGCAGCCAATGCCACAGTGCTGGAGGGGCTCAGGGATGCAGCCACAGACCCCCCAGAATATCAGCAGACGGATGGGGGTGGGCTGCTGGTTTTTAATTTTTGAGGTGATTTATTTACTTGGAGATCTTCCATGAAAGTACAAATAGACCCTGGCTTCAAAACTGGTGTGGTGCCAAATCTGCAGGCCTGGCCATTCCTAAATGTGCCTTTCCTCGAGTTAGTGGGTAAGAAAATGGTCCCTCACAGTGACCAGAAATTCTGTCAGGTGGCTGATTGCAGGTTTTGTTCTTGTTCCAGTGAGCACAAATCTGGATTCTCTTCAAGAATCTTCCCAAAAATGTCTCTTCCACTCCACTGTTTTTTGCTATTACTCTTCCAAAGCTTGACCCAGTGCAACTGCACGAAGATCAAATTGTTAGGGGAATGTTGGGCTGAATGAACCATTTCCAGAACCGTTTTCTTTTTCTTTCTGTCAGATCAACTCTGAAAATCTTCAAAAAATTTCCATCAGCCTCCCTGCTGCAGCCCTGGCAAGAGAAGCCTGTTGGATGTGACTGGCCTGGGAATGAGAGCTGGTTCAGGCCCCTTTGGTCTGTCACCTCCAGCAGGGCTTGGGGCAGGGAAATCAGGAGCCAGAGCTCCTGGAGAAATGGAACTGAGCCCCATAAACTCATTTCATGTTGCTCCCCACATGACTGCTAAATCAAATGTGTCATTTGGAGCGTTTCCAGCGGAGACTGGGAAGTGCAGGAGCTGGTTCTGCTTATTCTTAGAATCCAGCACTCACATCCCCAGCCGATTCCGTGAAAATGAACCCAGTCACAGCAAGGTTTGAGTCCCTGCAGCACTGGGATGAGTTTGTTTGGCATAGTAGCTGAATTCTTGGGATTGGGGCAGGACACAGCTGGGATATCCCACCCAACTGTGTCCACACTGCTCCTTTTCACAAGGCCAGGCCTCCACACCTGCCTCTCCAAGATTCTGCACTTTAATGGAATTGGAAAAGCAATGTACAGGAGATCTGTGGAATTCCCCCACAGCTCTTCCTGACCCGAGACAATCTGCCACGAGTGTGGCAAAACCTCTGCCTGGCCCTAAAACAGGAGGGAGGGCTGAAAATGCCCAGGCAACACCACACACACAGCAGCAAAACTCATCTTGTCCATCCACACACCTCCTAGTCCTCATTCCCACTCTGTATTCCAGTTCCTTCCTCCCATTTCTGGCTTGTCTGGGATTCTGGGCTTCACTCCCTGCCGGTCCTTGGGGACTGGCTGAAGGCGATGACGGCGTATTCCACATGCTGGGGGTTCCTGGGAGCCTGACTCAGTTCCACATTGCAGTAAAGAGGATCCTCGGGGTTGGGGTGGGATTGCACATCCAGGTTGATGTATGCTGGCCCTTTGCTGTTATCCTGAGAACTTTCCCTCCTCCCAGTGCTGCCAGGCTGGCAAGAGAAAGGGAAAACACTCGTTAGCATGAGTCAGTGCCGGGCCACCGCTGCTGAGATTTTCCCACAAGGAAAGGAGAAGCTGTCAAAACCTCTGGTCGTGACAGAGATGAAGGAGCAGAGAACTCTCTTCTTCACCACCTCTCCTGGATACAGGTGGAGCCTCATGCTCTGACCCTGCTTGCTACTCCTTGAGTCCCTTCTCAAGGGTTACTAGAATTTGCTCCACTGGGTTTGTTCCCGCTGGAGTTTCCTTGCATTAATTACCCCCCTCTGTCTCCAGCCAGGAATATTCCTCTCTCTGCTGCCATTAAAGACCATTTCCCTCCTGTTTATAACCAAACTGATCTCCAAGCTCTTCAGCAGCTGGGGCTGACAGTTCCTCCCAGACTGTTGGTCAGGGGTTTGGCACCGTGTGGGAAATGTTGCGTTTTCCTTACCTGTGCTGTGCCCTCTGCTCTGTCACTGGTGTCCTCTGCTTCTCTGATACCTTTAGAATGAGGCAAAATGAGGGTTTAGAGGAGAAATCCATGAAAAGCTCTGCCTGAGGAGGTTTGGGAGGGCTGTGGGACTGCCCAGAGATGGATGTGCCTCTGCCCCGGGCCTGGGGAACACTTTGCTCTCTTTACTCCTCCTCTAAGGTGTTCACACCCCCGTGCAGGCTCTGGAGGAACCTGGGTTAGATTTATTCTGAGGGGAGGCAGGGAGGAGCCTGCCTTGCCAGCCTGACCTTCCCAGGGCACTGATCTCAGCTGGGGTGCAGGGAGGGAAGGCCCTGCCTGGGACAACCCCAGCCCCACGTACCTGTTCTCAGCAGCAGCCTGGAGTACCTGACAGCCAGGACGACGGAGGTGAGGAGGGCCAGGAGCAGCAGGATGAGCAGCACCACGGACAGGATGAGGAAGGTGTTCCCACTGCAGCTGGAGGAGAGGAGGGCAGTTACCAGCCTGGGATGGTTCAACAGCCCGCCACCAAACAGGGACCAAAAGAGGGACAGGGACAGGTTTTATGTGCTCAGTTCAGCACTTGGAAGGAGGGTCTGGTTCTTCTGCAAGATCTCCTGCAGATCCTGCAGGGTCCTCCATCTATGAGCCTGGGCAAGTCCCTGCTGATTCAGAAGGGAAAAAGAGGCACTGGGGAACTTCTCTGCTTCCTGATTCTTGATTTTTCTACTTGGCTGTATCTTCTGAGCTTTTCCTAAACCATTCTCCAGGCTTTAGGAAAAAGCCACTGTTCGGAGCTCCAAGCACAATTCCAGGCTCTCTGGAGCAGGGATGATTCTGCTGTTAGGTGCTGCTGTAGCACTGATGACAGCAGATGCACAAAGACAGAAAAATCCTTCACATTTAACTGGTAAATGGAATACCAGCAGCCAAGGACTGTCCCATTGTTAAATACTCAGACAGGAGGGAGCAAAGCCCAGGCTGAGGGGCAGAATCTGAGGGTTCTGTTCATGTGAAGTGCAGAAGTGAGACGATAAAGAAGCAGAGAGGCACCTGCAGAAGGCTGTGACACAATTTTACCAATCTGCCTCTTCCTTTGGAATTAGGGTTAGGGCAGAGCTGGAGGAGGAGAGGCCACCTTTGGTGAGGATCCTGTCATACCCAATTCCTCTACAGGCAGGAGGGAGAGTGCCCAGGGCCTGCGTGTCCCAGGTGTACAACACGAGTAACCTGTGAGTGCTCAGGCTCAGAGATTCTTCTCAAGCCTTACCTGTTGCCCAAAAGAGTCTCTTGACTTTGGCCTTCAGAGTCTGGAAAACCTCCTGGAGGCAATGCTGCAATCACAGACATGAGGAGAGGAATGGTCACTGTGGGGCTGCTCTGCATTCAGCAGTGAAACCCCTGCCCCTGCTGCTCCCATGGCCATGCTCCCAAATCCCCTGAGTTTGTCCAGAGATCCCAGTGTCCCCTCTCATCATCTGCACTGCTTGCTCTTAGTGCTGCAAGAGCCAGGCTGCAGCCTGGGGCTGCTCTGCCATGACCAGCGCCCTCAGTGCCTTCCCTTGCCATTAAAACATTGTCTGACAGAGACCCCACAAGTCACAGATCTGTAAAATCCGACTCTAAAGTTGTTCCCTTGACAACCCAATGGAAGGTCTTTGAAAGCCAAAGGATGAATCACTCTAAAGGGGCTATAAAGTCACTCTAAAGAACTGATATCAGACACTGAGTGACAGAAACGCCTCTCAGGACAGCTGGAGCTGCTCCCAGGTTAAGGAGGAGCAGCACAGCAGGGATGTGGATCTGCTCCCATCCCTGCTGCTGTTCCACAGGGTGGTGGCCACCAGGAGATCCAAAACTTGGGCAGGCAAACACGGGCAAGGTGGGAGGTGGGGTGAGCTGGGCTGGGAGTCTGGAATCCACAAACGTGTCCTGACAGATCCACACCCACCCTTGGAAACGCTGAGCGTGACCTCCTCCATGCGGAGCAGAGCGGAGCCGTCCTGCAGCGCGCACCAGTACACGCCCGAGTCCTGCACCTGCAGCTGCTCCATGGTGATGGTGACCATGCCCTGCTGGGTGTCATCCTGGATGCTGACACCCCCCCGAGCCGTGCTGTTTCCTGCTGGGGACTCTGATCTGGTGGTCACCAGCACGTTGCACATTTTCCCCTCTTTGATTTTGCACCAGGCTTTGCTGACATCCTTGTAGTCTGAGATCTTGTAGTGACACTGGACAGTGACGTTGCCTGACTCCTTGGCTGTGAGCTTCTGGGTCCCTGCAAAACACCCAGGATGTGTGCTGACACCCCAAAGTGGGATCCCACAGTAGGACACTGTCTCCCCAGCACTGCAATACCCTGGAGCTGCTTCCATCTCCACCCAAACATCTCCACCTGCGCATCCACCTCCCCTAAGCAGAAGGGGACTGCACCCAGATTCCCCATGCAGAAATGTCATAAATGTGGGGGTCCTGTCCCCCTCCTCTGGTTCCCTCAGAGTGGGACACTCAGCCCATGGGGTCTGGGAGGGTTGGTGGCTGTGGGGTCAGAGCAAGAGCAGTGCCTGGCATGGGAGAGGGTCCCAGCAGCACCCAGTGGGAACCAGTGCTGGAGCCACAGGTCTGGCCCTGTGGGAGGCACTTGGGATGGGCATCCCCATCTGTGGGACCCACAGGAACCTCCCCTGAGCCTCTGCTGGGAGCAGACAGAGCACGAAGGACCATGCCTGAGCTTTGGCTCGAAGGTGCCAGGGATCATCTGGCACTGTGTGTGCTGCAGGGATGGCAGGGAGAGATGGGCATCACCTGGGCTGAGACCTGCCCCCACCCACACCTGGCTGCCAGGAGGGGCTCACTCTTGGACACTGAGTGCAGTAGGAAACTGAGTGCAGTAAAATCCCACCCTTGGACACGGAGGACACGGCAGGTACTCACTCTTGAACACAGAGAGCACGATCTCCATTCTCGGGGTGCGCTCGGAGCCCAGTGCACACCAGTACACACCAGAGTCCTGGCTCTTCAGGTTCTTCATGGTGACATCGAGACCCCCTTGACCGTTATACTGTGTTGTCACTCTGTCTTGCAGGGATTTCATTTCACTCTGCTTTGAAGATGTCCGTCCCCTCGCTGGGGCTGTGCACTCAGTCTGCCCTCGGCACCAGGCCATGCCATTCCCCACTGGGCACTGCACTGTCAGGGTGTCCAGCTCCCACCTGAGCAGCTCTGTGAAACACCAAAGGTGGGCACTGCCCAGTCAGTGCTGGGCACAGGGGCACCTGGCACAGACCATGCCCTGGGGCAGCTCCCTCAGGAGAGCCCCTCCTCAGGGCAGGGGGGAGGTGGGGCAGGAGCTGGGGGCCAGCAGGACCAGGCAGGTCTGTGGGGCTCCTTCTCTCCCTGTGTGGGACAGAAAGCAGGGAGCGAGGCTGGGGGGACCAGGGGAAGCTGCTCAGCTGTGGGGGAGAAGGGGCAGAGGAGGGGAAGGAGTGATGCTGCTTCCTGACAAGGCTTGGCTTTGGGTGGGGTACAGGTACTCACCCCTGAAAACAATCAGTGAGATCGTCTTTAGCCGTGGATAGTCATGGTAAGATCTGTAAATAGCACAGAAATATGTGCCTGAGTCCTCTGCCTTGAGGTCAGTCATGGTGACAGAAACAGTCTTACTAGTTCTGTTATCCTTTATTTCAATTCTCTCATCACTGGAATGTCTGGTGCCTTCATAGTGTATGTGCAGGAGTTCTTGGCATCCTCCAATTCCCCGGGGGAGGCACCAGTATTTTGTATGCTGGTCAATACTCCATGGTGCATAAGGACACTGGATGTACAGAGTGCCCCCTTCCCGTCGTCTCTGGACTTCTGGGGTTTGGCCTTGGAGACCTGGAAGGATCAGATGTGGTGAGGGAGAGGGGAGCTGAGCACAGAACCACAGAATTACAGCACGACAGAAACAGAATCAACAAAGCTGGAAGAGACCTTTGAGATGACCAAGCCCAACCCAAGTCCCAACACCAGGCTGTCACGACAGAAACAGAATCAACAAAGCTGGAAAAGACCTTTGAGATTTGAGATTTGAGATGACCAAGCCCAACCCAAGTCCTAACACCAGCCATGTCCTAACCCAGAGCAACCAGTCCTAACCCAGAGCATGGCACTCAGAGCCACATCTCCTGGGCAGCCCCTTCCAATGCCCCATCAGCCTTTCTGTGAAGGTGCAGGGCTGCCCACAGCCCCACAGGGAAACTCTGCCTCCAGCCTTCCCATGGACACTGGTGGCTGGAAGAACTTCAAAAACCCCAAATCCCTTCCCCACGCTGAATTCACCTGCTTGGAAACGGGAAGGGCAGCGCTGAGCTTTGAGCTGGGGATTGAAGCCCACAGGGTGCTCGAGGTGCTGGCCCTCCAAGCCACGTGTGGCACAGTGCCTGCAGCTGTCCCCTCGTCCCTGCTCCTCCCTGCAGGCAGATGGGGACCATGCCCTGCTCTGTTTGGGGTGGTGGGGAGGAGCAGAGCAGAGGGAAGCAGCCAGGGCAGGGAAGCAGCTCTCTCCTGCCACATGCCCAGCCATGCCAGGGCTCCTGGCTGTGAGGCTGTGCTGGCTCTGGGTGCCACGTGCTGGGAGCTCTGTGCTCTCTGCGGGGCTGCTGAGGGACTGGCACTGCCCTGGCACTGCCCTGACCCAGGACTGCCCGCAGAGGAGCTGAGCAGGGCCAGCATGGTGGGAAAGGCTGCCTGGGAGAGGCTCTGTGCCCCCAGCACGGATCAACCTGGAGGAGCCAGAGACCTGGGGCTGCCCTTCCCTGCCAGCCCTGCAGCACTGCCAGCTCAGAGCCCGGCTGCTGATGGAGGAGCTGCCGGGGCAGCAGGAAGTGGGGAAGGTTCTCCCTGTCCCCAGGGACACCCCGAGCCCTTCTCCTACCTGGGAAGCAGAGCAGCAGCAGGAACAGAGCTCTCAGCTCCATGGCCATGCTGGGGCCCAGGGAAGGGGCATCACTGGGGGCTGCCCAGCCTGTCCCGTGCCAGCGTGGGTGCCCCTGGCCTCTTCTGCCTGGCAGTGACACATCTGGGGGGGGAAGTGCCGAGTTCTCATTCTTGCCACAAGCGGAAACACCTCCCCATGTTTTGTTACAAAATTAATATGACAGCAATGTCAGGGTGCTTTTGGGGAAGTGGCTGAGCCCAGAGCACGGCCTGTCCTGGTGCCAAAGGCTGTTGCTGCTCTCGCCTGGCTGCTGGCATCTGTTTTGTCACCCTCCTGTCCCCCCAGCCTGTGGTGAGGTTGATCCACCTGGCTCCTCTTCCTTCCTGGCTGGTAACAGAGAAATGTTCCGGGTTTTGGTGTCACAGGAATTTCCTGTAGCTGATTCTGCACCCAGGTGCTTTGCAGGCCTGGGCTAACAGAGAAAATGGGGAATGGCTTCTTTCCCTCCTTTCCCTCAGCCTCTCTGGGGAGCTCTGCCTCCTACAAACCCACACGAAGCCAGTGCTCCTGTGCAAGCCTCCAGGTGAGTCCTGGAGCTGCTGTGCGTGCATCCCTCAGCCACAGCCCCCTCTGGTGGCACCTGCCCAGCTCCGGGGGCTCCCTCGTGATCTTCCACACCTGGTTCTATCCCAAACAGCTGCTTTGGGGAGCAGGAGCAGGATCAGGTCTTATCTGTCTCGAGGCCAAGCTGGCCTTTCTCTGTCTGGGTGCTGTGAGGATGCTGCAGAAGGCCTGTGCTGTGCCCTGCTCCCAAACACCCCGTGCTTCCACACTGGGAATTGTGTCCCTCATCAGCAGGGCTTGGCTGAGCCTTTCTGTCTCCCCTTCACCTCCCTGTGTCCTTCCCTGCCCTTGAAGGAGGAGCAGGGAGCAGAGCAGGGTCCCCTGGGCCGGCACCTGCCCCGCTCCAGCAGAGCAGCACACGCAGACTCCACTGACACCCCGGCTGCAAAGAATTTCCAATTATGTGAATAAGCAGCTTATTAACAATACATTCTGGCTAATCATTTTGTGCTAGATAGCTCCGCATTGTCTTGTCCCCAAATCCCTCTCTCATCAGGCACTTGATGCTCGGTAACGAGAAGGGGGAACGCGCTCGGGCTCCCGTGAGCAAATCCCAGGAGTCTGCAATTAGTTCAGTTGCTGCAACTGGTTGCCTCCAAACGGAGCCAAGAGCTGTTCCTCAGCCCTTCCCATGGTGTTTGGTGCATCCATGGAGGTCCTGCCCGAGGGGAGAGGCTCTGTGGGGCAGCACAGGTCGTGGGGAGATGCCCATCCAGGGCCTGGCATCCTGGAGCAGCAGGAATGGAATGAAGTTGGGCCTTTTGCTGCATCTCTGGCAGAGGATCGATATGATTTTAATTCTAGAATCACAGGAAGAAGATGAATGTCATCTCAGGAGGTCACTTCATCCAGCCCAGGGACAGGATCAGGTCTGTCCATGGCATTTCTAAAGATCTCTTTAAACAGTTGGGGTTGCAGCATTTTCCTGTTCCAGTGAGGCACCAGCCCCATCTGAACACTCCTCCCAGCTCTGCCTCTCCCTGCTCTTTGAGGCCTCGCTGCACTTTAATGCCTCAGTACCCACTGTGACCTGGGAGATCAGACCATTCCCATTCTCCATTCTTCCCCTCAGCCCATTCCCATTCTCCATTCTTCCCCTCAGACCATTCCCATTCTCCATTCTTCCCCTCAGACCATTCCCATTCTCCATTCTTCCCCTCAGACCATTCCCATTCTCCATTCCTGCCCTCAGACCATCCCCATTCTCCATTCTTCCCCTCAGACCATTCCCATTCTCCATTCTTCCCCTCAGACCATTCCCATTCTCCATTCTTCCCCTCAGACCATTCCCATTCTCCATTCCTCCCCTCAGTCCTTCCCCTCCAGGCTGACTCCAGATGGCTGCATCCCAAATATTTGGATTTTTCCCTCCTCAGCTGTGCTCCTGACAACTCGGATCATTTCTTCCCTTTTCTCTGAACTCTGACTCTTCCCTGTCTTCTTGGATTCCCCAAAGTTCCTTTGGAGCTCAAGGATGGAGCCATCCCCTTTCTGCTGCCTCCTGGAGACCCTGGAACTGCAGCTGATTGCAGTCGGTTCACTCTGGTTGCTGTCGCACCCACGGAGGCTCCTCTGAGTTAGATTTTTCTGAAAATATCGAGGTTTGGGGCCGGGTTTGGGGATTTTGGGGGGGTTTTGGTGGGTTTTGGAGCAGAGGGGGCTGCAGTGGCGGAGCGGGGCCGCCAGGAGGCGGGGGAGGCTCAGGAATGAGCCCGAGAGTGCCCGGGCTGGGGACAGCAGCGACCCCCGGTGCCACCCCCGGTGCCACCCTGGGACAGCAGCGACTCCAGGTGCCACCCTGGGACCCCTGACACAGCCCCCAATGTCACCTTGGGACCCCTGAAATAGCCCCCAGTGCCCCCCTGGGTCCTCACCGAGCCCCCAGTGCCACCCTGGGACCCCTACCACAGCCCACATTGCCACCCTGGGACCTCACCGAGCCCCCAGTGCCACGCTTGGAAAGCACCAAGCCCCCAGTGCCATCGCCAGTGCCACCTGGGACCCCTGCCACAGCCCCCAGTGCCTCCCTGGGACCCCTGCCACAGCCCCAGTGCCACCTGGGACCCCTGCCACAGCCCCCAGTGCCACCCTGCCGTGGCAGGGACCCCTCCCTCAGCCCAGGTGGCTCCAAGCCCCGTCCAGCCTGGCCTGGGACACCACCAGGGACCCAGGGAGCCACAGCTGCTGTCACACAGTGTCTGTGGCACTGGGTGACCTTTCACATCCCTTCCAACCCGAACCACCCCACAATTCCAAGATATTCCTGCCTCACCTGCAGTGGGCTTTAAAAAACGCTTCTCCCCAAAACTCAGAGCTGTCTGCAGAGTGAGCACCTGAGTGCTGAGCTGGGGGAGCCCTGCAGACCCTCCTGGGACATAACTACGAGTTTTCCCAACACTGAGCAGGCCCCCACCCTCACCCAGCTCTGCACAGCCGGGGGAAATCGATCCCAAACCACCTGGGAAAGGCAATCCTGGGATGAGGGAGAACGGGGAGACTCAGGATGAAAAGGTGGCTCAGGAAGGGGCAGAGGCAGCGAGAGGGGAGCGGGGCTGGGGCAAGCTGGGACCCCCAGGCTGGGTGTGGAGGGGCTGCTGGGCACGGGCTGAGGGCTCTGCAGGACAAGAGGCCCCACAGCAGCAGCAGCTTAGTGAGGGGCCGGGTGTTTGGTCTGTTCCACATCAATGGGGCGTCCAGCTGTGGCTGAGGATGAAAGCAGGAGAGAGAGAGAGAGAGGGAGAGAGGATTAAAGGCTCCCAGGGTCTCCTCTAACCCGCCTAAGACTCGCCAAGAGGGCAGTGTGCAGCTTCAGGAAGGCTTCTTCATATGGAAAATATTATGGGAGGGAGAGCAAGAGGAGGGGGAAGGGAGCAGGGGAGAGGGAGACTCTGTCCAGAGCGTGCTGGGGGAGGACTGACCACTGAGAGGCTTTGGAGGCTCGGCCTGAGCCACAAGTGCTGAGCTCTGCTGGTGGGGCACAGGTGAGATGAGTTTGGGAGGCCTGGAGATGGGAGAGGAATAGAAAAGGATGAAAGGAAAGTGGAGAATGGGAGCAAAAGGGAGGAGAGAGGGCAGAGGTGGCAGGGGAGGTGGTGAGAGGCGGGCTGAGGGCTGGCAGGGGATGACAGGCAGCTCTCTGCTCCCTGCTGGGGGGGCCAGGCGGGAGCCCCCGCCTGCTGCTCTGCTCCCAGCAATGCTCCAGGGATGGGGAATGAGTTTCTACCAGGAGTGAGGCATTCTGCAGTGAGTTTGCAGCGCAGGGTTTCCTGTTGGAGGTGTGGAGCAGGATAATCCCGGGAGTTAACACCCAGCCCTGGTTATGGCCAGGATGAGGGACCTTTCCTGCCTCCTGCTCTGGCTGCCACCGTTTCCCTGCTTCCATTCCTGGGATTTTCTGCTCCCCCGCGTGTGGCATTCCCGCTCTCCTCAGCCGTTCCTCCCCCACCGCTGGCATCCACGGGCTCCCACTGCGCTTCCCTCCTTGATTTATCCTGAATGACCTTCCTCACCCTCATTTCCAGCACGCAGGGCCTGGGGGAGGGCAGGCTGTCCTCTCCTCGCTGTCCTGCAGTGCTCACCCCAGGGTGGGTGTCCAGCACCCTGCACAGCAGGGTCGGGGATATTGGAACATTTGGGCTGAAAAACAAACACAGCTTTTCTATTTCCACCCCGTGCCATGGGCAGGGAAACCTCCCACCATGCCAGGCTGCTCCGGGCTGGCCTTGGACACTCCCAGGGATCCAGGGGCAGCCACAGCTGCTCTGGGCACCCTGTGCCAGGGCATCACCACCCTCACAAGGAGAAATGTCCAGCCTGGCCTGGGCTGTGTTCTTGACATTGCTGCAGCAGGTGAAGGCATTCCAGAAGGTCCAGAAATTCAAAATGCAGAGGTGGGAGATGTGCCCTGACCCCCCAGTATGGACACACCTGCCAGGTGAGGGGATTTCTGTGACCACGAATGTCCTGGTGCCTTGTGACTCCTCACAGAATGAGTGGATTTTAGGATTTTAACAGAAAAGGGATCCCTTCTCTCTCCTCCCTAAAAAACACTTCTCAATCTCTGCTCCAGTGTCTGAGGAATTTCAGATGAAAATCTCAAGGTCTGACGTGTCAGAGGAGCAGCCACCCCAAAGGTGCTGCTGGCTCTGGGGACAGCAGCTCAGCTCTGACCCTGCTGGGCACTCAGCTGGACCCCACCCCGGCTCCCCTCACATCCCAAAGCTGAATCTCCTCCGCACTTCTCCTAAAGAGCTGGCAAAGCGTTTTGCCCCCTTCCCTGGCCCAGCAGGGCACAAATCCCACTGCCCCCAGTCTGGAAATGTGCCTTCCTGTCCCTCCCTTCCCTGCCTTCCTGGGGAGCCAGCGTGGATGCAGCGCTGCCTGTCTGAGCTGCTTAGTTAAGAATAATAAACAAATTCCTAAATGGAAGGATATTCTTTAAACCTGCCTTGTGCTGCCTGCCAGGGAATGCAGAGCCCACCTCCTGTCCCCCTGCAGCCCCGGCTCCAGGCTCTCCTGAAACCTGAGCTGCTTCGCTGTGGA